GTTCCTCTCATAGGAAAAAGAAATAATGGCTGAAATCCAGAGACGAGAGGAAGAAAAACGTGAAGAAAAGAGAAGGAAGGAGATTGCCAAACAGGTGCAAGAGCTTCAAATATTCAGTCATTCATTCATTTTCAGCACAAAATTTAACTTATTTTTCTGAAACACTTTCTATTTGGCTCACCTCATCAGGAGCGACTTGAGGGCATGGAGCTACCAATCACTCCTAGCATGTTGTCAAAGAGCCCACCCAGTGAATGTGGAACTCCTCCTGATGTCACAGACCCCAAGAAAATAGTCCCAAACCGGCGACGGAATAACTCAAGTACACGTCACAGGTACGTGCAAATTTCATATTTCATAGTTATTTAGAACAACAAAATATTGGAGTTAGATTCTGTATTCAACTGCCAGACGTGAGACAACCAGTGAGGACAACTCACACACGCAGCAGCGTCTTCATTTCAACAGCAGCACCTTTGGGGAACTCAATGTCCACAGAGGGAGACATTTAGGTGAGTACAGCAGCCATGAAATTACACTTCCCAATGCTCACTGTTCATTAATTGTGTTTGTTCATGTTGCAGGAGTGAGTGAGAGGTTTGGCCGGAACGTTTATAATGGGTTTGAGGTGAACTCGGGTGACTTTGCGGTTATTTATGAGTGGTCACTGCGCTGGAACAAGAAAATGGGCAAGTTCTTTACCAGCCTGGAGAAAGGAAAGATCGAGAACTGCAAAAAGCAGGCGAGTACAGTTAGGTATTATGATTGTAGTGCTTCCATATAGGGGTGGGCGATATGGGTGAAAAAAAAGTATCTATTCATCAATCAATCAATCAATCAGTCAATTTGTAAATCTGCAAATCTGTACCTTTTTTACTGATAGATTGGACATAATTGTATGAAGCAATTTAAAATATTCAACTGATCTTCCTGATTGCAATTTTTGGGACTGACTCACTCTTAAATGTTTGAAAATTATTTGGGGAATATCAGTAGCAGTGAAATATTGTATTTGATAATGTTTACAAAAGTTGTTGACACTAAGCTTGACACTGAACCCTCTGAAGATCCACGCGGCCGAAAATGAATTCAACTCCCTCCTGCGACTTGAGCACCCGAACCTGGTGCACTA